AGCTGCTTGCCAGCAGCACTGAGCTGCTGCCTCTGTGCCACAGCCCCCTGTGAGAAAATGCAGTGTTACCTCCTTCTTCCTCCTCTTGATTTTGGCAGCCTTGCCATCTTTCAGCTTCTTGGTTTTCTTCTTTTTCTGCACCACAACTTGGTCTTCTGCAAAAAACTCATCCAATCCTTCCAGCACCCCATCATCTTCTTCTGGGGACAAAAGGGACAGCTCACATGGACAGACTGCACAGGCACAGGACAGTATGCTAACCATGACAGAGGAGCACACCTGAGCAGCAGCTTCAGGCCACAAGACTCAGAGCTCTGTGGCCTCTCCTGCAAGGTGAAAGCACTTGGCTTTTACCTTTCTGATCCCCAGGTAGAGCTCACAAAAACACAGTGAGCAGAGGAGAGGAAGGGTTTGTGTGGAAAATGGGTGCCACAGCTGCCAGGCTATTCTGGGCTGCTCTCACCAGCTCAGGGGCCCAGCCCTGGGCAGAGGCACTGATAGCAGTGCACACCTCCCTTCTCACCATTATCTCCCCAAACCCAGGGCATCCCAGCCAGTCTCCACACAGCTTTTGACTTGTGTCTTTATTTTTGATTTCTGAGCTCACACAGCAACACCACTTGGGGTGGTCAGGATGTATTGATCACTTGACTTCTGAGAGGCCCTGGCACTGCCCAGAGCAGCTCTGGATGCTCCATCCCTGGAAGTGCTCAAGATCAGGCTGGACAGGGCTTGGAGCAACCTGGGATAGTGGAAGGTGTCCCTGCCATGGCAGGGGGTGGCACTGGATGCTCTTTAAGATCCCTCCCAACCCAACCCATCCTGGGATTCCATGATTCACTGATTCATGCTGTGCTGCTTTAGGTCTGACAGGGTGGGCACCGCTGCACCAAGCCCAGCCCGGGGAACCAGCCGGTCCATGGGCACGGCCCGAGCGGGAACCGGCTACTGATGAGGAGCCGGCATAGAGCGCTCCGGTCCGGGGAGCGCGGACAGCGGGGATCGCCCGCGGCACGGCCGGACCCACGGGGATGGCAGCGATGCCACCGCCCCGCCCGTGCCCCCCGCCCTCCGCCGCCGCCTACCCGACACGTCCTCCTCGTTGTCCGCGTCGTCCAGCAGGTCGCGGGCGGCCGGCGGGCCCCGCATGCCGGGCGGGGCAGCGCCCGCCCCGGGCCGAGCGCCGGGGCCGAGCCGGGTGCGGCCGCTCCGCGCCAAGATGGCGAGAGCCGGCCCCGCCCCCCGGGACACGCCCCCGGTCACGCCCATCGGAGCTGAGCCACGCCCCCCCGGCCACACCCCCCGCTCGCCGCTCCCCGAAAAGCCCCAAATCCCCCCAAAACGACCCCCGGAGCCGCAGCCGCCACCGAGCACGGGCTATGAACAACTCTGCTGCTGTTTATTGCAGAAAAGTGAAACTGTACAAAATGGTCGTCAGCAGCGGCGGGGCTCAATCCTCTTCTTCCTCCTCCTCCTCATCCTGGTTGATCTGGAAGTAGCGCAGCTCGTAGCTCTCCTTGCTGTTGGCCACCACGCGCAGCCAGTCCCGCAGGTTGTTCTTCTTCAGGTACTTCTTGGTCAGGTACTTGAGGTACCTGTGGGAGAGGCATGGCTGACAGCAGTGCCCCTCTGTCCCCTGCCAGACCCCCAGGTGCCATTTTGGCTAATAAATCTTTATTCCCTTGTCCAGCAGGACCAACACATCCCACTGGCCACCTCCTAGCAAAGCCCTTTCCAGGAAACACCAGGAACACCCCTTCCAGGAACACTGCAACCAGGGAATTGCACCACAATGCCATAACACAGGTCCTGGGAGATCATTCTTGCCCCAACAAGGCTGTGACCCCAGTGCCTTGCACCCACCCCAGAGGGAATGTCCCCTGGGATGGTGGGTACCCGCTGCTGGGACGTGCCAGGTGTGGCAGCAACGTGGAGCAGCAGCGTTGGGAGAAGGGCAGGCACTCACGGGGCAAGGCACGCCCACCACCCACACAGATCTGCTTTTCCCAGCTGGCTCCTGAGCCACCTCTGCCATGGCACAACCCCAGGGTGCCCATGCCAGCCCAAGGACAGGCAGCCAGGAGAGGCAGGCAGAGGGCCAGAGCACCACTGGACGAGGGGAACAATGTGGCACACCTTGGCACAACCACACTTTGCTGATGTCGGCCCAAGGAGGACCAAAAGATGAGCAACCTGAGAGACCTTGTCTGCAGATAGCCCTAAACTGTCCCCTCAGCCCCTTCTGGCTGCAGGCCCCTCACTGCCCAGCCCAGCAGCCTTCCCAGCTGGAATATGGAACACATTCCTGTCTCACAGATCTCGGAAGAGCAGCCACTCACTGAGTGCCAGGTAGCACAAATTCCAGCACAGCTCCGGCACTGAGACATCTCTTCCCTGGCAGCCCCTCCTGCCAAGGGCCACCTGTGGCCACAATGCCCAAGGGCCCAGCAGGACTGGCCTGCCCCAGCTCACCTCTTGGAGAAGGGCACCTCTGACGTGACCGTTATCTTGCTCTTGCTCCTCTCGATGGTCACCACGCCCCCGCCCAGGTTTCCCGCTTTGCCGTTCACCTTGATCCGTTCCTGCAGGAACTGCTCCTGCAGGAGAACACAGCTGTGAGCTGGGGCCACAACTCCTAGGGCTGACAGAGCCCCCAGGGCTGGCTGTGCCTGCTGCTCTGGGGCTGGGGACAGACACCAGTATCGCCATAGCTCCAGAGAGCTCAGGCCAGGCTAATCCAACCCATCAAAGCCACACCTGGGTGAGGTGCTCAGGCCTGAACGTATCGACCTGGCGTGGTGGGGATGTTCCTGCCCTCCAAGGGGACAGTCAGGACAGTGGGGTCAGGTTCCTCTGAGCTCCCCTCAGCCCCAGGCTTGCCAAGGCCCCTGCTGGAGTGCAGTGCAGACAGGCACAGGTTCATGACCCCAAACTGCAGCATCCCTGGCCTTGCTACATCCCTGGCCTTGCTACATCCCTGCCATGACACAAACTTACCCAGCAGAGATAGACAGGAAAACTGCCCATCGACAGGGACAATGCATGTGCTTTAACAACAAGGTGTCCCAAAGCCAACCTCATCCCCAGCCTCAGCGCTCCCCGTTGCTCTGCCCATGGGATGGCCTTAAGGGAGCAGGGCAGAGCCGAGGGAAGGCCAGGGATGGTCGAGGCCGCTGGGAGAGGAGCATCACCCTGGGAAGGCGCCCGAAGGCGCGGAGCCATCACGGCTCCCGGGGAGGCCCTGAACTCACGAAGTTGGCGGCGTCCATGATTCCATCCTCGACGGGGTGCGTGCAATCCAGCGTGAACTTCAGAACCTGCTTCTTTTTCTTACCACCTTTCGCCGCTGGCTTCTTCTGCTGCAGGGGGAGAGAGAGCGACGGTGAGCGAGAGAGAAAGGGAGAGGGAGCGCCCTGAGGGACGGCGGGGAGGGGCCGGGCCGAGCCCCGGGCTGGCGGCGAGGGGAAAGGCCCAGGCCTGGATTGGGATCGGGAACAGCGCGGTGGGAACGGGGCTCGCCCGCTGCCCGCCCTCACGGCCCGGATGGGCGGCGGGAGTCGCGTGGGGCCGCGGGAAGGCGCGGGCCGGGCCCCACGCGGAAAGCAGCGGGCGGGGGCAGGCGGCGGGGCTGGGACGGGCGGCGGGGGTGTCGGGGGCTCGGGGCGGGGCGGGGGGTGTCCCGGTGGCGGCGGGGGCAGGCTCGGGGCGGCGGGGGCCGGTGCCGGTGCCGCGCTCACTCACCGCGGGCGCCATGGCGGCTCCGCGCGAGGCAGAAAGGGAGCGCGGCCCGCGCGCCTGCGCACAACCGCGCTCCGGCCGTCTCAACAGACCGCCGATAGCGTCGATCGCTTCCGGTCGCAGCCGCGCAGGGAACCTGCGAGCGGACAGTGATGCCTGGAAGGGCGGGGCGAGGGCGGGGGACGGGCTGTGGGCGGGGCTGGGCGGGGGCGTGGCCTGCGGGGAACGGGGGCGGAGCCTGCGGAGCGCGGGGAGCGGCACGTGCGGGGCGCGGGCACCGGAGCATCACCGGACACGGGGTGAGCACCGGGCACGGAGCGACCCCCGCACACCGGAGCGACCCCCGCACACCAGGAGCCTCACGGAGCGACCCCCGCAGGCTGCAGCTTCTCACTTTGCACAGAGTTACCCTGCACAGTGGGAGCCTCACAGCGCATGGAGCGATCCCTCACACCCCGGGGCTCCTCACTATGCACCGGGTGACACCTCGGGGCTCCTCACTATGTACCGGGTGCCCCCCGCACCTCCTGCGGGCTGTCAGCAGACCATGCAGGTGCCTGTGTCCCCGCAGCCCGGGTGGCTCTGCAGAGCCGTGTCCGTCCCCGCCGCAGGGCCCCGAGCAGCGCACGGGGCTATTTTTGGGCCGTGCCGAGCGGCAGTGCCAGGGGGCCCCGCGTCACGGGCGGGCCCTGCCGCCTCGGCACCGCGCTCATTCCTGCCGGCACACGGGGAGCAGCAGCACAGCTCGGCTCGGATCCCCCGCCTCACACACAGGGAGAGGTAAAGCCTTCACCTGGCCGGGACACACCTGTGCCCAGAACGGGATGTGGGGCACTGGCTGCCTTCACTGCCAGGCTGGCACCCTAGGGCACACCCCTGGGCACGGGACGCCCCATTCTAGGGAATGCTTCCTCCGGGGGGACACCCTGTCCTGGAGGAACCCCCACCCCTGTCCTGGGGGATGCTGTGCTGCAGGGGATGCTCCTTTGGAGGGGACAGCCCATCCCAGGGGATGCTCCTGCTTTAGGGGACACACACCATGGGGACACTTTGCTGTGGGGACCATCCTACCCAGCACTGCAGCCCCCAGCCTGTGATACCAGGGGAAGGGGTGTGCTGTGGGCAGCCTCGTGCCATGCAGCTCATAACCTAAAAATAGTCAGCAGCTCACAGGCTTTGTCCTTTCTGTGGCAGCCACAGTGCTCTCACAAACCGGTGCCACACGGGGTCTCTGGGCACAGACTTTGCTCTCAACCCCACAGATGGCAGGTGGCATTTTCTCCCCACTGGGCAGCTGCTCGGAGCTGGAGAAGGCCAACTGCCACCCGCTGGTGTGCCTGCTCTGCCACGAGCCCTACCAGCACCCCTGCCTGCTCGACTGCTACCACAACTTCTGTGCCAGCTGCCTGCGAGGCCGTGCCAGCGACGGCCGCCTGCGCTGCCCCCTCTGCGGGTAAGGGTCGGCCAGGATTGGGGCACAGCCCTGCTCCCTGCGTCCCCAGAGCTGTCCCCATGCTTGTCCCCATGCAGGCACCCCTCGGTGGTGAGGGGAGGCACGGGGCTGCCCCCCGTGGACCGGCTGCTGCAGTTCCTGGTGGACAGCTCGGCCGACAGCGAGGAGGACGTGCAGTGTGCCAACTGCGACCGCTGCTGCACCAAGGCGGTGAGGGCAGCGGGCTGCACTGGCAGCGTGGGTAGGGGACCCCTGGCAGGGCCATGCCTGCCACCAGCTGTGTCCCTTCACACAGGAGCTGGACACCATGTACTTCTGCAACACCTGTGGGCAGCCCCTCTGTGCCCCATGCCGTGAGGAGACACACCGTGCCAGGATGTTCGCCCGCCACGAGATCGTCTCCCTCTCCAAGCGCACCAAAGACATCCACAAGAAGTGCCGTGAGTGCCGTGCCAGGCTGCCCCGTGCCATCCTATGCTGCACTGAGCCATGCCAGGCAATGCCACGCTCCTGTCCCCTGCAGCACTGCACGAGGAGCCCTACATCATGTTCTCCACCGAGAAGAAGTCCATGCTCTGCATCAACTGCTTCAGGGACATGCAGGGGTGAGTATTCCCACCCCCAGGCTTGCTGCGTGCCCCATCCTGTGCTTTCCCTGATGTCTGTGCCTGCAGGGAGAGTCGGGCACACTGCATCGACATCGAGACCGCGTACATGCAGGGCTGCCAGCGCCTGGACCAGGCAGTGATGGTGGGCAGGGCCGGGGGGCATGGGGGTGGCAAGGGGGTACAGTGCTGTCCCCTGCACTGCAGCCCCCCTCCCACCCCGGGCAGGCTGTGAAGGAGCTGCAGACCTCCACGCGTGAGGCCATCGTCCTGCTCAAGGCCATGATCGAGGAGGTTCGGAACAGTGCCAGCGAGGAGGAGGCGGCCATCAACTCCCTCTTCAGCCGCATGCAGGTGTGAGTTGTCACCTGCACACCGAGCCCTGTGCCTGCAGGACACAGCCAGGGCAGTGGGAAGGGACTGGGGTGGCTGCAGGACACAGGGTGGCTGTGCCATTGCAGGAGCAGCTCTCCGAGAGGAAAAAGACGCTCCTGAAAGCTGTGCAGAGGTGAGGGAGCAGGGGCTGAGCCCTGTCCGAGGGTGGTTCCCCCTTCCTAAGGTGGTTTGGGGTGCCTGGGGCTGGATGGCTCCCTCAGATCTTGCAAAGGCTGTGCTATGCCCTGCTCTGCTACAGCCAGCACGAGGAAAAGGAGAAGGCATTCAAGGAGCAGCTCGCCCACCTTGCCTCCCTGCTGCCCACTCTGCAGGTAGGGCCTCACAGCAGGCAGGGACATCCTGACACCAAAGCCAGGCAGTGACAGACCCCTTCCACACACACAGGTCCACCTGGTGACCTGCTCGGCCTTCCTGAGCTCTGCCAACAAAGCTGAATTCCTGGACCTGGGCTATGTGAGTGTCACCAGCACTGCAGGGGTGGTCAGGGTGGCACTGCTGAGTTCACGGGCAAGGTTCTGAGCACACCTTGCTTCATTGCTGCCTTTCAGCAACTGATGGAGAGGCTGCAGAGGATTGTCAAGCTGCCTCACCGCCTGCGGCCGGCCCAGACCAGCAAGGTAGAGAGAGCCCTGCTGCAGTGCCAGGGGGCAGTGCCAGCTGCCAGCCCTGCCCCAGCCCAGCTGTGCTCTCCTCTCTTCCCCCCAGATCAACAGCGAGTACCGGGCAGAGTTTGCCCGCTGCCTGGAGCCCCTCCTGATGCTCAGCCCCCGCCGCTCCGTGGTGGGCAGCGCTGGTGGCATCGGACCTGGCATCACTGGCACCAACATGTGAGGTGCTAGGATTGCACCCAAGGCACATGTGCTGCTGTGTCCCCTGCCACGTGCCACACTGCGCAGTCCCTTCAGCATCTCACCATGCCAACCTTGCCCCTGCTGCTGCCCTTGAGCCTGTCACCTCAGCAGGGGTACCAGGACAGCACAGGCACAGCTGCACTGATGAACAACAGGCTTCAAGTGACACTTCTGGGAAGTGGGGTGGGTGGCACAGGGGTGGGCAGCAGCGGGGCTGGCAGCTGAGGGCCTGGTTAAACCTCACTCTGCTCCCCAGCCCAGCCCCTGCCATGCTCCCTGCAGGGCTCTGCCCCTCTCCATGGGTGCTCCACCTGGGCCAGCTCCTGCTCGCCCACATGCCCGTGGTGCCGCAGCCTCTTTGCCCGCCACTATTTTTATCAGAATTTCAGAGAAGTGCTCGGCCATTCTTCACCAGGGATATATTTAGGCCTGTTGATGTCACGGCAGCACCGGCCCTGCCAGGCCCTCCCAGCCAGAGAGGACAAACGGGCGCTGCCGCCCCATGGGGACCGCTCCTCGCCCCCAGGCAGGCTTGGCACTGCAGGGTGGCTGAGCTCCTGGGGGCTGCTGGCCCCAGCACGGGCAGGGGGAGCACGGCGCTGCACGGTAGGACCGGTGGTGGTGGTGGTTAGCATGGGGAGACCACGGGATGGGGGGAAACACAGGGGCAGTAGTGCCTGCCAAGGGGCCAGGAGATACCAGCGGTGAGAGAGCGAGCTGTATCCCACCCTTTAGAAACTGGAGGGTGCCAAGCTCAGCTCCTGGCTTCTCACTGCCACAGCTGGCTCCAAAACTGCAGGAATACAGAGAGCAGCCCACAGAAATGTGATTTTTGGGACAGCATAAGGTACCTCTGACTGAACCTCTGTGCCTGGGTGAGGGAAGGGACGTGTGGGACTGGTGTGTCCCACTGGAGGTAAGGGGTGGTGGGACTGAGCTGGCAGCATGGTCCCTTGCACCTCACCCCCACTGCTGCACACCTGCAGCACGTCACTGTCACCTCTCCCTGCAGGCTCCCCGGTGGCCAATGCTCCAAGACCCTCATGGTGCCCAGCTGCCCCCCCAGCAGTGACAAAATGTCCACGGGCCCCATGGTGAAGAAGCCAACGATGCACCGGTACATCAGCACCAAGGTGTTGCTGGCTGAGGGGCGTGAGACCCCCTTTGCTGAGCACTGCCGCAACTACGAGAACACCTACCGGGTAGGGACATGGCTGGGAGCAGGATGGGACAGGACAGGACTGTGGGCTGGGTAGGGACATGGCTGGGAGCAGGATGGGACAGGACAGGACTGTGGGCTGGGTAGGGACATGGCTGGGAGCAGGATGGGACAGGACAGGATTGAGGGCCAGGTTGGTGCTGCTTACATGGCTGTGCCCCCTGGCTCCTGCAGATGCTGCAGACGGAGATCCAGGGCCTGAAGGACCAGGTGCAGGAGCTGCACCGTGACCTCACCAAGCACCACTCGCTCATCAAGTCGGAGATCATGAGTGAGATCCTGCAGAAGTCGCTGCAGATGGACGTGCAGATCGCAGCTCACTACTCCGCCGTGGAGATGATGCGCAGCGTCTTTGAGGAGGTACAGCTGGCACGGCCGGGCAGAGCAGGGCCCCTCTGTGCCACACCAAGGCATTCTGCCCAGCTCCCTCTCTTCCTTCCAGGTTTGGGAGGAGACCTATCAGCGGGTAGCAAATGAGCAGGAGATCTATGAAGGTACTGCTGACCCCACGCTCCCTCCCCGTGCCCCCTGTGCCCTCCCTGGGGGGGTGGCCGTGTCCCAGCCCTCTCCTCTGCCCCCAGCCCAGCTCCATGACCTGCTGCAGCTGAGGCAGGAGAACAGCTGCCTGAGCACCATCACCAAGCAGATCGCGCCCTACGTGCGCTCCATCGCCAAAGTGAAGGAGCGCCTGGAGCCCAGGTGAGGGGTGCAGGGACATTCAGGGCCAGGGGGGACCCAGCTCATGGCTCACACCCATCCTGCCACAGGCTGCAGGAGCCCCAGGAGCCCAGAGAAGAACAGGCCCAGATGCTGCTCAAGATCTGTGACAACAATGAAGTGGCGCCAAGGTAGGTGACAGCAAGCACCTCCCATGCCCTATCCGAGACAGTGACCCTGTCAAGGTGTCTTCCCTTCCCCAGGGATGCCTCACCTGGCAGCAACAAGGGGGCTTCACTCACCCCCGGGGTGAAGGACACCCCTGGAGACCCCTCCCCAACAAACAAAGACTGCTGCAGGGGCCAGCAGAAGAGTGGAGCAGAGACTGCTACTCCAAAAGAGCCAGCACCATAAGCCCAGTGCTGGGCACATGGCAGAGCACTGGGCACAACCATGCCCTGGTGAGTGACCAGCTCCTCTTGCCCAGTGCCACAAGTCAGGGCAGGAAACAGCCCGGGCAGCCGTGTCTGCAGCACATACAAAGGCCTCAGGTGGACTTGCTCCTGAAAAACTCTCCTTGTGCTCTTCCTTGCGTGTGTCAGAGTGAAATAAAAGGGTGCAGTTGTCCATGTCTGCGTGGTTCTGCAGTGCTGACAAAGGGATCTGCTGGCTCAGGGTGTCCAGCTGCTCCTAAAACCACAACATTGGCAAATTATGGGGAAAAATAACTCCTGGTGGAGGGCAGGGGTACATGGCCAGGTGATGGAGCATCCTGTGAAGTGCTGGGCAGCCACACACCAACACAAGCCAGGTGCCAGGAACAGCTGCTCTAGAGGTTCCCTGCACATGTGGGAACTAAGAACTCACCAATCACTGTGGCACAGAGGGCAGGGTTTCACAGTTTACTCCAGCTTTTCCCCAAAATTTCACATGCCTTCCCCTCACCCGGTAAGCTGCTGTCTCCTCACAGAGCTTCTGGTCACAGGATTTGGGAAAATAAAAGGTTAAGAGAAGCTGTTGGTCTCCAAAGCTTCAAGAGCCACTGAAAGTTTTGCTCAGGGTGGAGTTTATCCCTTTCTTTCGGTGCCAACACATCCTGCTTGAACAGAGCCTGCACAGCTGGAACCAGCACTTGTGACATTAGGATCAAGGTTCATTTACTTTGAAGAACAATCTGGGAATGAGGCTTTGTTTCTGTTGTCAAACAGCACATCAAACCCAAGTGACAATTACTTGTTCCAAAGTTCCTTTGATCAAGGGCACAGCAGGAACATTACTACCTACAAAAAATTGCTTAGATTAACCTGCTCGAGGCACCACTGGCTGCAATCAGTGCTCCCCTGAGACAAGAACAGCCCAAGTGGGAGCCTCTGAGTGCCCAGCACAGAACAGCACTCTCCAACTGGTGAGTTTTCACCCTTGTTCTTTTCACCCAAGCCAAAACCCCACTCAGCAAAGGTCAAGTCAGCAGCAAGGGCATCAACAGATGCTCTGTGATCAAGCAAACACAGTGGAGGATGGACTCTGCATCAGTTCAGCAAGGAGAAACAGAGGGTCAGGGTCAGCCTCATCCCTGTGGCTGCACAGCCCCACAAGTCACTGAGTCACAATCGTGCCTCAACACAGTGCTGGTGTGTTCTGAGAACCCACCAGGAATTATAAAGCATTCCAGTTTCCATGATGCCACCAGCACCTCAAAAGACCTTCAAATAACCAGACAGAAGCCCACGATGTTTTCTCTTTTTTTTTTTTTTTTTTTTTTTAATATAAAAAAAGAAAACCTAAACCCAAACCCAAGCTATTCTCACCGAGTGCCCCTTCCTGAGCCATACCACAGCACCTTCCCCATGGAACACCACAAGCTCCAAGCATGAACTGACAAGCAACTCATTTCCATTCCAGCAAGGAAGAATAATGTAGAACTCAAGAAAACAGTGAACCTCTTTGGTATATAACAACAAAGTTATACCACACAGCTCAATGGGAACCATTTCCAAATGGTTACTATAAAAGAGCATTAGCTAGCCCAACTCTTCTCCTGGTTGGAGATTTCCTTAGAAGCATCTCCTACTTGCCCTAACATCACAGCTTTTGCCCAAAAGAGCAGGGGAGGACCTCAGGGACTACAGCCCTTAGCAAGCCTGGCAGCTGTGGCTCTTTCACAACCCAAAATCCTGGGATCTCTGCAAGACAGAGGCAGCCTGGCAGGATAGGAAGCAGCGTGATTCGGAAGCAGGAAGAAGGAACAGAGGTGGCAGCAGGAGGCAGCGGCTGGAGCAGTGACACTGCACCCACAGCAGCATCCAAGGGACGAGGAGAGGGCCCAGAGGTGCTCAGATCCAGCGGCACGAGGGGAGCAGCAGAACCCTCCCTGCAGACCTCAAGGCCTAGAGAGAAGTAAGTGGTGCCATGCTGCACACTGGCACTTTGAGGGCAGAGCTGGAGGCTGCTCCCTCGGCCGCCCCAGTGCCAGCTCAGGGAGTTGGGCCCGAGCAGATTAAAGTCGTGTCACCGGGCTCACGAGGTCAGAAAGCTTTAAAATCGAATTATGCAACAGGAACAATCTGCTGCCTAGAACCTTCCCCGCCCAGGGCCAGGAGGGCAGTGCTGTTTCCTGGTAGAATCAGTTCCAGAGGCGTTCCAAGACAATTCAGCTGCTGCAGGCAGGATTCATTCTCTTTAGGGTCGCTACAGGCTAAGTTATCTGGAAGATCCCTGAATGTGCAACGAAGGACTGATCTCAAGGAGCAGGAACGAGCTTCTGATCTGTGAGTGACCCAGACCAAAGCTGCAGCCCTCCACCAGCTCCTCTTGAGTGGCCAGGAAATACCAACAGGCACCTCCCAATGCCGGTGCCACACGGGCACTGGGCGCAGCAGGAGCTGGGCGTCTGCTCAGCCAGCCTGGTTTGTGCCCATGTTACAGGTCCAATTTGACTCCTTTAATAAAAGGGAGACCCGATGGCACCTTCCTTTTGTAGTCCAGGTACTCTTCTCCAAAGAAGTGGATGAGTGTGATCTCCTCCTCCTCGATCCGCTCCCTGAAGAAGCGCCAGGACGCCAGCGCGTAGCCCACCACGCAGATGGGATTGCAGAGCAACACCTGGAACAGAGCCTGCTGGTGAGCACCCCCTCGAGAACACAGCTCATCCCCCTCCAGTAACACTGACACAGAAAAAGAAAATACCACAAAACACATTGTGAAACTTCACAAGCACTGGTTTCTCCCCAGAATGACGAAGGCAGCGCTGGCTTCACTGCCCCAGCTCTCAAAAGCTCCGTGTGCCACCCTTATGGACTCTCTCCAGGGAAACACAAGCCAATGCCAGCACCCAGCCAGCCACAAGAGCACACAGCTACAGCAGCACTGAGCTAAGGCTTGGCCACAGCTCAACCTCTAGTCAGGGACTTTCCTTGCCCTCAAGCACAGGACTGGTGTTTGGCAGGAGCCAGGTTGAGTCTGACCACTCACAGAAGGCATTCTGACCACAGGGATACAGAAAACTCTGCATACCAGCTTTAAACAAGCAGCAAATCACACCTCAAGCTTCCAAGGGGGTTGTGAGTCAAAACCCCAGCTCCACCACCTCTCCTTACTGCACAGAGAAAATTAAGGGAACAAGATCTTCCCAAAGATCCCACGGGGCAGAGAGCTCAGGGATTCCAGATTTCCTGTGTGCCAGTGGGAGGCAGCAGAATCCAGGCCCAGTCTGCACCTCACCACAGCATGGGCAGCAAAGACAGGGGGCATGACAGGAAAGGATCTGAGCACTCTGGATACAGTACCTGTGTTCCAATACTCCAGTAAAACCATCCCACGTAGGAGGGGTGCCGGAACCACCCGTACACCCCGCTTGTCACCAAAGTGTGGGTGTCAGATTTCTCGTTCTGAACGATGTGGTTGAAGTTGGAGCCTGCTGTGAGCATGGCTGCCTTCCTCAGGCAGTCTCCGAAGATCACCATCAGCAGCCCCACGGTGCTCAGCCAGGTGATCTGCTTCAGCTCTGCGTGGACAGGGAGGGGCACAATTGGTTTGCACAGGTCTCCAGGGGTGCAGGAGGCTGCTCAGTGAGTGGGCTTTGCCCCCCATCTCAAAGCAAAATGTGTGACAGCAACAGCCATGCACTGCCATCCTGCACCAAACAGATAAAACCAACAGCCCCTGCTTGGTGTTAGCATGGATTAGTCCATGAGGGCCAGCTGGAGAGATTGAGCAAAGCCAACACAAAGCACAGCCAAGGACATGCTCAGGCTGCTACAAAACAAAGGGGAACAGTTTCCCTCTCTCAAGGATAAAAAGATGAGCACAGCCAGTTTGCCCCAGACTGGGCAACCAGCAAGAGATTTGATTACTTGATTTTATTCCTGTCATAAGGCAACGCCTAGATGTACCTGACACATAATTCATGCACCACCAAGGCAGGAAAGGGCTGAAGATCCCCTGGCCTGGCACTCAGAATGAGGGGGGGCTCCTCCCCTGCACTCCCAAGATCCAGCCCAAGAGGCTTTGAGCACTGAGGGATTATGACTCTGGCAAAGCTGCTGCAGGGCAGTCACGGGGCAGCAAGCTGAGGGTCACCTGCACTTTGCTACCAGGCAGATGGACCCCAGGCAAGCCACGTGCAGCTAGGCAGAGACAGGCAGGGACAGGGTGGCCGACCTGGGAAGAAGAGCTTCTCCAGCGTGAACTCCACCCATGAGGACAGGGCAGCCAGGTTGTACTCGAAGCTGTGGTTGAGTAGGAAGGAGTCCAGCGAGAGGCTGCGCGGGTTGTTGATGGCTGTCACCAGATACTCCGAGTAGTGAAAGAGGGACAGGGAGCACATATACCTGCGGCGGGAGGGAGGGCAGGTTCAGCAGGGCCGGGGGCACCGTGCCCGCCCGGCCCGGCCCGGCCCTTACCATCCGAAGTGGCGCCAGGCGGAGCGGCCGGCGCTCAACAGCAGCCCGCAGCCGAAGGCGAAGCCCAAGAAACAGGCCCGGACGGCGATCTGCAAGCACAGGGAGGGGAGAACGCGCTGTCGCCGCCGCTCCCCGGGCCCGGGGTATCCCTACCGGCGCACCCCGGCACCGGCACCCTCCACAGCCGCCGCCCGCCGGGGCCACCCCCGTACCTTGTAGAGCGGCCGCGGGTAGATGAGCAGCAGCGCCGCGTTCACGCCCGCCACGTGCAGGGCGAGAGCCAGGCGGCCGCGCAGGCCGGGAGCGGCCAGCAGGGAGGGGGACGAGCCGAGCAGCAGCGGCAGCGCCGCCACCGAGGCGCCGAGCAGGAAGGAGCAGAGGCTGGCGCGGCCCTCCCGGCCCAGCCGCCCCCTCCGCGCCACCGCCGCCGCCATCATGGCGGCCCCGCCCCGCCCGCGTCGCCCGGGAAACGGCCCCACCGCTCTCGCGAGAGCTCCGCCCCGCGCAGCCGCGGCAGCTGCGGAGGAGCCGCTCTCGCGAGAGTTGGTGCCGGTGCTGTGGGACCGGCTGGGTCCGCGGCTGCCGGGGCCGGTTCGGGTCCGCTGACGGAGCCGGTTTGGGTTCGCTCACGGAGCCGGTTTGGGTTCGCTCACGGAGCTGGTTTGGGCTCGGTCGGGGTTGGAGACCTTTTCCATCATCCTGTCCCACCGCCCGCCCGGCACTGCCACTGTAGTCCCCAAGCCCATCACCCAGCGGCAGGTGCAGATGCTGCTGAACACCTCCAGGCACGGTGACTCCATCCCTTCCTGCTGCCTGAGCACCCGAACAGGGACATTTGCTGATCCCTGTTCTGAATTTCCACTCTGTCAGCCTATAGCTGTTACCCCCTGTCCTGACACTGCAGAAAAGGCCAGACCCCACCTCACTAGAACCTCCTATCAGGTAGTTTATTGTTTAACATCCCAAACCGGGAACCCATTCCAGCAGGAATTCATCTGAGAGTCCCATTAAAACAACCAGACTTCCTCAAAAACAACGCCGGGAGCGCCTGGCGCCACTTAGGGAGCGCGGGCGGATCTGGGGGAGGGAGGAAAAGCACAATTGTTTTGAAATAAAAGTGTCAGCCTTTCATTCCAGTCAATGAAACAGATTTTATTTATGCCACAGGATTCCTTAAATAACTTAGATGTGCACAGAGAACTACCTAGAGATGTCACAGACATTCAGTGCGGCCCCGGCGCGGCACGGCACGTACGAAAGCTTTGGTGTGCATGGTAGGACAAACCAGCGAGTCGAACACAGCAGCACAAAGACTCGCGGCCTCACGCACCCCTCGAGCCACCACACACCCCCAGCCTGGCTCTGACACAGGCAGGAACGTCACCAACAGGATCAAACAGCAACAACGGCTCTGGAGGCAGATGGTGAGTGCCTGGGAAGACTCCTGGGGGCTTTCAGAGCCACCTGAAGCACGAGGTGTGCGGTGCTGAGCCCAGCAGCAGCAGCAAAGCGGTGGAGCCGGCAGCAGGCTGGGGCGGGCGGAGGCGCGGGGCTGGCGCGGGCCGGACACAAAAAACGAACGGGAACAACCTGTATGCCAACCTGTATGCTTGGTGGGCACTGGTGCCACACAGGTCACTGCTGGGCAGCCTGCTGCTGCATCTGCGCCTGCCTCTTGGCTTTGGTCTGCAGGTACCTGCCCTTCCCTTCCTCGAAGCGACGCTTCTCGTCCTCTGTCTCCGTCTAAGGTCACAGAAAGAGTGCAAAGCTGCGGTGTCAGTGTGCTGCAAGAGCGTGTGGGAGGGAAACACGCCTCCCCTCACACTTCTAGAAGTGCTGCTCTCTGTCAAACATGCACATGACAGCCAGCATGCCCTGCATTAAGCAGGAGACCTGTGCCACATCAAATATTAAGCAACGCCCCCAGTTGGGAGCACCGTGTCAGCAAAGCCCTGCCAGGATTAGGGGAGATGATACAGGCAGGAGGCTGGAATGGGGACACCATGGGGAGCAGCAATTAGGGATGGGGGGGCCTCCGTTGCCACTCAGGGTCCCCCGGTGCAGGGCGTGCCTGCAGCCTGTTCTCAACAATGAGAAAGGAAAAAATCCCTAACCTCCACACTAGCACTTTTCTAAAGAAATAACAAACAAAACCAAACAAAACCAAAACAACACAAACCAAATTCAAAACAAACAAACAAACCCAAAAACCAAAACAAATCACAATCCCAAAACAAAAACAAATAAAACAAAAATAAACCCCCTGAAGCCTGTCCTGGGATGTCTCGTTCGTGCTCATATTTTTCTGCTGAGTAACTCAAGGGAAGAGGATTTCTTGGGCTGGGCTCTGCCGCAGGAGGAGCAGGGGATGTGATGGCCCTGCTGGGTCCAATCCAGAGACAAAAGCTCTTACCAGCAGCTGTGGGACAGGCAGGGGCTTCCCCTCCTTGCTCAGGGACACGTAGGTGAAGAAGGCGCTGACGGCCCGGTACCGCTCCCGGGGCTCGTCCACAAACGGGTCAGCATCCACAAAAACCTCTATTTCCATGGACTTATTGCTTGTGAATGTCATACGTCCTGAGACAGTGATGACACAGCCTGTGAAACAGAGAGGGGCTAGTCAAGTCCTGCATGTTTTATGCTTAAGCTGTATATTAAGCAGAGCACAGGATTAATCAAACAGGGTCTAATTTTCTCTGCCAGCATGTCCTGAAAGCATATCCAAGGGAGCCAGGGTGTGGCAACACAGCACATCACAGTGCCTGCCACCACCCTTGGTACCTTTTTTGATCTTCTCATGGAAGTTGATGGCATCCACCGAGGCAGTGACAATGTTGGTCTTGCAGTGGCGGGCAGCCACAATCCCAGCAACCTCATCCATGAGCTTCATGGTGACACCTGTGAGGGCAGGCAGAGGGTCCTGTCTCAGGGAGGTCAGTAGGATTTCAGGGAAACCACACAAAGGTCAGTAAGGGCTTAGCATGGCCAAACCTATGCTGGGGAGTTGGACTGGAGACTAAGTCCCAATTTCAGGAAAATCCAGTACAAAGGCTCCTCTCAATACCAGGGCAATATCCTCACAGACCTGTGATTAAGGTCAGCTCTGTCTCCCAAATTTCTCTGAGCAAACTTCACCCTTACAAGGTGAGATCAGCCCCACAAACAGGAAACAGCTCTGACCATGTTTGTTTTGTTTGTTTAAGGATTAGTATGTGTTGTCCCAGCTCTCAGCAAACACACCTCTCCCAGGGCTTGCACCACACGTGCCAGCCCTGCAGGTGATGGGCGCTGCCAGCCAAGAGGAAATTACTTCAGATAACAGCAGTCACACGCTGCATGCTTGTACTCCAGGATTTGCAATCTCACAGGCGATGACAAAACTGTAGGATTTACAGTTCAAGTACATGAGTTTTTGGGGCACAGAAAAAGATGAAGCTTTTGTCTCAGCTAAAGCAACTCTGACCTTGACAGTCAATACGCCTCCAGAGGCAGAGCCCACCAAAAACAGTCACTCTCCAACCACACTTTGCTCCAGGGAAAAGGCACCTGGAGCTGAAGCCAGGTGCTGTACAGGCAGTGTTCACTCACCTCCATGCACAAAGCCCAGCAGTGTGCAGTCTGACGGGCCCACCAGGTGGATCAGGCTGGACTGGCTGTAGCCAACGGTGTGTGGCTCTGGTTAGAGAGCAAAGCAAGGTGAGAGTTACTCAGCTGGCACCATACACCCCTGTCTTAAGTTGTCCAAAGGAAGAAAACATGGGGCTGGCTCGTGCAAAGCTGAACTATGTTGAAATCAGTGGTTAAACCAGGCTGGAGAAGTTCCAAGAGCATAGACTGTTCATCACCTGACGGGCTGCTGCCTCCCTCTAATCTCCACCCATCCACTTTATTCTAGCTCAGCTCATTTCTTTCTTTTCAAGCTTTCAAAGAGTATGAAAGCAAACAGGAGTGAACTAGGTCACACTGCTGTCTGCTTCCCCTCTCAGCTGAACCTCCCAGACCCTGCTGCATAGAGCCCCTGTGTTCCCCTTGATGGGAAGACTTTCACACCCATGCCCCCAGCCCTGGCACATCCCGGTGACCTCTGTCCCACCACACCCTCCAGGTGACAGAAGTCACACCCTCAAACTCCCAGCAGAGGAAATCCTCTCTCAGAAGGATTGATGAGAGATGTTAAAGAAGCTCAAAGAAAGGAAAAGCAGCCCAGTCCCACTCAGGGTGACCACCCATGGAGCAGTGCCCGCTGAACCTTACCTTTTGTCTGCCTGTCTGTGAGCAGGGAGGACAGAGGAGAAAAAAGCATTTGAGCAACTTTCATCCCCCATCACCTTCCCCAACATTCCTCATGTGCCACCTCTCCTCTCCTCTCCTCTCCACCTCTGCCTGAAGACCACAGCCAGGCCTACAGGTCACCCTTGCCCAGCACTTGCATTTACCCTTTGTGGAACAAAATCAGCTCTAGTGCACACAAGCACACAAGGATACAGGAACAGGGTTTTGGAGAGGGGATCTCATGCACCAGCCCCTTCAGGGTACCACAGGTATCCACTCAGCTTCCCCTCCACTCACACACTGCCGCTCCAAAATCCCATCCCCATCCCTGCTGTGGTGTTTCAGAATGCACACGTGCACCTATAGGGCCCTGGGGATGCCCAGGGGACCAGTTTGGTCTCCCAGTACTGCTGGGCAATTTGCACTGGGTACACACTGCCCGTGTTACCTGGGTTGATGACAGGTAAGATCACGTCACCATTTCTCTGCTTCGTTTCCAGCCGATCCAGCTTTTGCTCCTCATAACGCTTCTTCCCCTCATCCTCCTGCTCCTTTCTGGCATACTGGAATAGAAGGCTGGTAAGAAGGGGATTGGCACAGCCACTGGCACAGCTGGGAGTGCCAACAGGGCCAGGTTAGTGCCATTCCACAGGGAGGGCAAATTCCAGTTTGGGGGAACCCAAGTGAGCTGTCCTACCTGGATGGGGGGAACCTCAACGACCTTATTCACGTTCTTCAGGGACAGTGGCACATACCACAGCGTCGCCTTGTTCGTCACCTTCTTTGCCCCTGGAGGAGAAGGGGGCAGCAGGTGATGGTGCCAAGGCCAGCAGTGCTGTACCTGCCACCAGTATGGGGTTGGGCACACACTGGCAATGCCACTGGCATTGGTGGCCCCTTGCCCTGCTGGCTCCTACCAGGCTTTAGCTCTTAGCGGATGTGACAATGTGCTTTTGGGAAGATGTCCCAGCAAGCGGAACTGGTTGTCACAGCAACAGCAGGAAAAGGGACTTTTCAGGCCAAAGGCAGCCACAGGCAGCAAATCAGGCAGGAAGAGCTACGAACAGATTTTGCTGTTTTTCACTACAATGGAGCCATAAATCCCAGGGAGCCTGCTTGGCCTCCCTCCCCAGCACCAGCCCTCCCTCCACTCGCAGCTCTGTCAACAAACATGCCAGATCTCCTCTCTGCCGAATGTGATGGAGCAGAGGATGGGGTCACCTCTGCAAGCTCACTGTTATTCCTGGTGTTCTGGAACACAGCCACCAGCAGCCACCCACCTGTTAAAATGTTCTCAGACATGACGTTGACCTGAACCTCCACAGAGTGCCGGGAGGTGTAAGTGATCTCGGCACTGACGTTGGCCACCTCGCCGATGCACACCGGCGACAGGAAGTCCGTCCGCTCCACCCGTGCTAGCGCAGCCACACAGGGCTCCTGGGGACGGTGAGACAGCCAAGAGAGTGATCACAGCCACGCCACGGGACCACAGCTGGCAGCTCCCTGACACCAGCCAAATCTGCCATGCCATGTGCGGCTCGGATACTGCAACCGCCACCTTTATCAGCCACTGGCCGTGCTTCCTTCCCCATCTGTAAGCGCCACTAGAGTTGCCCCAACTTGCCTTGCTCAGGAGTTAAAACATTAACAGCAGTAATGAGTAATAATGTTTCTCATGGTAAACCACAATTTCAGCAGAATGCTTCCAGCTACTGGGACCTGGCTGCAGCCAGATTTGCATGCAGGAGGAAACACTCCCAGTGAGACACGGCAGGGAGTGGAAGGTCACCGTGCCAGAGGCTGGCAGACACACCGGCACCTACTCACCCCGGCCTGGGAATTGCAGTGGCGGGTGCTGATGATGGCTCCTGCCTCCTCGATCATCTTCAGGATGGTTCCCCCGTGGACATTGCCCGCGATGTTGGCATCATCTGGGCGCATAATCCTGCCGAAGGAGGCACATGAGAGCTCACAACGTCTGCCGCGCCCCCAGCCCAGCCCCGGTGCGGCTGCCCGGAGGCAGCATATCGCCCACCGGCTGAGCTGCCGGGACATCGCTGCTCGCACGCGGCTTCCTGTGAGCGGCGGTGGAAACCGCTGTGAGCGGAAGGAAGCAGGGCGCCTCTGCCGGGGCACCCCGCGTCTCACCAGAGCCCCACCCCGCCGGCCCCGGTGCGGCGCACACCGAGCCGGGCCCGTGCCGCTGCTCCACGCGGCTTCCCGGCAGCAACCGCGCTTCCTGCCAACGGCGAATAACGCCCGGGGGGCACCGGAGCAGCGGCTGCGCGCTGGCACGGACAGGAGCGGCTGCTTCAGCGCGACCGCGCCCGAGAGCCGCGGGGACACTGGCGGGAGAACCGCGCCCGGGAGAGCCGCGCCCGGGAGAGCCGCGGCAGCGCTGCCTGCTGCCAGCCCCCGCAGCACGGAGCACGGGCGCGGCGCTGCTGCGCTCTGCCCGCGGTCAGTGTCACTGACAGCATGACTAAAGCGGGTGGCGCCGCCGCTGCCGGCAGCAGGGCGGGCGGGCAGCATCTCCATCGCAGACCGGCACCCGCCCGCGGCCCCCAGCACGCTCGCCTCCCTGCCCAGCCCTGTCCGGCTCCCCGAGCGCGGTGGGGCCGTACCTGGACACCTGGATGGCGGCCGGGCTAGGGCCCGCGGCCCCCGGCTCCGACATGGCGGCACCGGCGCCCCGCCCGCAGCGGCGCTGCGGCACCGCCGCGCTTGGCCCCGCCCCGCCGCGCCCGGACACGCCCCCGCCGCGCCCGGACACGCCCCCGCCGCGCCGCGCCATTGGCGGACAGCGCGCGGGGCGGGGCGCGGAGCCGGGCGGCTCCGGGGCTGCCCGCGGGCTCGTGTGAGCTCGCCGGGACTGGGGTCCCCCCGCCAGCTCGGGGACTCGTGAGGAGCCACCGGCTTAGGGTCGGCACGGGTAGCACCGTTCCCGGTGCGTTCCCGGCGCCGTCGGCTCTCTCCGGTTGTAACACAGTTCCCGGTAGCGCCCCGGGGTTTTGGGTCGGGTGCTGGCGAGTCCCGAGCAGACAGTGACAGCTTGCAGGGTCCGGAGGGGATTCAGTATCGCCCCCGGGAGCCACGGCACTCAGGGCTTCACCGACCCCGAGCTCCCGTCGGTGCGAGCGCGGCGGCGAGTCTCCGTGAGGGACCGAAGGGTCTGCGGGCAGACGGAGCCGCCCGCGGGCGCAGCGGGCTGGAAATGCCGGAGCTGTCGCTTTGCACGGCTCGGCGGAGGCAGAAGGGGGACCGGAGCCGGGTGCCTGCCGCCCAACGCCCGGTGGGGACATGGCGCTCCCGCTCTCCATGCCGCTGTCGGCTTTATAAACCGCGGCGGGGCAGGACCGGGCAGGGAGGGCGGGGGACAGGCAGGGAAGGAGGCGGGCAGGGCGGCCTTGCCTTGTCCTCGGTGCTGATCGAGGAGCGTCTCCGCTGTCCGCGGTGCTGACGGAGGGTCTCCCGCCTGTCCGCCCGCGCCGCCCGCTGCCCCGCCAGCACTTCATAAAACAACTTTTCAGTGGCGGCGGGGACCGGACCGCTGCAGGGCTGGGTGGATACCAAAGCAGACCGTGCCTGGCTGCCGGCCCCCGCGGCCGGGTGAGGCGGGACAGCCTCCCGCCCAGCGCCCCCCGTTCTGCCTGAACAGCCAGGACCGGCAGCGCACGTCGAGGGTGCCGGAGGAGCCCATCTTTGCCGCGCCTCTTGCCTGGGCGGGCGGCGGGAGGGGACACCCGTGGGGCAGCTACACGGGGCCGCGGACAGGCAGCCGGGAACGGCCCGCTTTGGGGTCCACCCGGACTTGCACCGGTGCCGGTTCTGGTCCCGTCCGCCTCTCGGCAAAGTGCGGCTGCCCCAGCAGGGGCCGGGGGGAGCGGGGCGGGGGTCCCGAGCAGCGGGCAATCGCCGCGCCGTCGGGCGGGGCGGGCGGAGGGGCGGCCCCGGGGGAGGGAGAGGAGGAGCCGGCGGGGCCGGGGGGCGGCGGGGCGGGAGCGCCGCACAGTGCCAAGCGGCGGCCGGGGCCGCCGGGGCCGGGGCCGCCACCGGGGCCGCTGGGGCCGGGGCCGCCGCCGGGATGGCGCTGGAGCGGGCGCTGCAGGCGGCGCGACAGGGAGACGTGGAGGCGCTGCGGGGGCTGCGGGCGGCCGGGCTGCTGCGGCCGGGGCTGCGGGACGCCCTGGGCGCGTCCCCCACGCACCACGCCGCCCGCGCCGGTCGCCTCGCCTGCCTCCGGTACCTGGCGGCCGAGGCCGCGCTCCGCGGGGACGCGCGGGCGCGGAACGGGGCCACACCGGCCCACGACGCCGCCGCCACCGGCAACCTCGCCTGTCTCCAGTGGCTGCTCACGCAGGGGGGCTGCGGCGTGCAGGTGCGAGCGGGGGCGCGGGGGGCGGCGGAGGGGCCCTCGGTGGCGCGGGCGGCCGGGGAGGCGTTCCGCGGTCCCGTGTGGGTGGCGGTGGCCGCGGGGACACGGTCACGCGTGGTGCTTCCCACCCTGCCGACGGCCAGCCGGGGTCCGTCCCAGCCGGCACGGGCAGGGCTCCGCCGGGCATAGCGGCCGGCATCCCACGGACCCGGAGAGTCCCCGGCATCCCGGAGGGGCTCAGCCGCGAGGGCAGCACATATTGCCCGGGGCTGCCGCCCCCTCCGGGGTTACACAACGGCGGGACCGCGGCGGTAAGCGGCTTGCCCCGGGGCCGGCCGAGAGTTAAAGACGTGTGACGACCGAAGGAAGAGGAGGCGGCGGGGCTGGGAGAGGAGATTAATCGGGAAGGAAGGGGTCAGCACGCATCGGCGACCTCCTGGCCAGGGGCCAGCGCTACCCGCGCCCCACCGAGCGCGGAGGGCGGACGGGCCGGAGGCACAGCGGGGCTCGGCGGCGAGTTCGCGGTTAGGGGGTCCGAACAAGGAGGGCATTGTGCTGCACTCACTGTGTGCGGACGCGGGCCCTTGACGGAGGCAGACACGCTGGTCCCACGGTCGCTCCGATGCTCTGTGCTCCTGCTCCGGCCCCGCTCCGTGCGGACGGAACTCCACCCTGTCCGCCCCACCCGCCTGGCACCAGCTCCGGGCTGGGGGAATGCCCCTGCGGTCCCCAACCCCCTTGCCGGAAGGGCTGGTGCCTGGCACTGACAGCCGTCCCACTTCCTCCTGCAGGACACAGACAACTCTGGTGCCACCATCCTGCACCTGGCAGCCCGCTTCGGTCACCACGAGGTGATCGAGTGGCTCCTCCGCTTCGGAGGCAGCGACCCCACGGCAGCCACCAACACGGGAGCGCTGCCCGTCCACTACGCCGCGGTGAAAGGGGATTTCCCTTCCCTGCGACTCCTCTTGGGACACTGCCCCAGGTAACGGCCCCCGCTGCTGGCAGCGAGACAGGGTCTGCCGGAAGGTTGGCACCCACCAGCAGGAGAGGGGCTAGTGGGAGAACGGGGTGCCTGCTGTGCCCCCAACCCTCCCTCCAGCCACCGGGCAAGGTGCCAGCACTGGGGACGAATGCTGCAGCCAGCCTGAACCCCCAGCTCCAAGGGCAACGCGGCCGCGTTATCAGGCTGGGCAGCCAGCTGCACCTTCTTTATGGCCCAGAAAGAAAGGGAGAGGAGGAGAGGGGCGAGCGCTGGCAGAAATATTGTCGCTGGCCGCTGAGTCGGCTCCTGGCGCGGGGCGATAACACAGCCGCCTTTGTCCGCCCGCTGTTATGTAAATGGATTAGGCTGACCGCCGAGGGGAGGCTGCTCCCCGCGCCAGAGACGACCTTTCCGCTTGCCCAGGTCGGTGGGCATTGCTGGGCACGGCAGCCTCTCCCGGACGGCTCCGTGGCGGCAGCATCCCCTTTTTTCCTCCTGAGCGGTGCCTGGGGCCGGGCCGGTTCCCCCGTTACGTGGCCCAGCAGCCCACAGGGCCCGCGATGCCGGGCCTGGCCACGAGGCCGCAGCAGGTGATTAGGTGGCCGCTAATCCGATTTCCTGTGGTGGGCAGAGGCCACTGGAAATAACCCAGAGACCCAGCCAAAGCGGAGCCGGGGGGATGCGCTGTTGCTCCACATTGTCCCTGGAAGGCTCCAGGGTTGTGGATGGGAGGGATTGCGCAGCTCTCCCTCATCCAGGGAGTCCTGAGGCAGCGGGACGTGAACCAGCACTCGGCACCCCTCTGTCTCTGGGTGCCACAACACCAGAGCTCTGCATCTTCTCCTCCAGGCCGGGCCACACAGATCCCTGGATCCCATGGCATTTACTGGCCAGAGCTGTCCCAGCCCCAGTTCTTTATCTCCTTGCCCCAGGTGTGCCAGCTTAGCCCTGAGCACTTCTGGGATTAACCCCTGCAGCCCAAGCCCGGCCCCAAACCGGTCACTGCTCCTGCTCGACGCCCACCGTGCCAGCCCAGGTGTGGCACGGCGCTCGCATTGCCTTTCACGCCGCTTGCCGGGGTTGTTCCGCTGCTGTCACCGCCTTCCCCCTGAATTATTTAGGGCTGGCCCTGCTCCCGGCCCCGCGCCTGCCCGGAGGCTCCGTTACAGCTGCGAAATCCAATCCGCGGTGCCGCTGCGGGATGCTCCCGGCCCACCTTCGCATCGCCCCCGGCAGCCGGTGGCCCAGCATGGGGGCTCAGCCATCTGCCAAAGCAGTTTAGTGGCAGTGCCCGAGTGGCTTAACGCCTTCCCAATTACTGAGAAATGGGAATCAGGGACTGCCCCTGTGCCTGAGCTCCTGCTGACTCCAGCACCCCAATCTGCAGCTGCCCCAAGCCCCATCCCCAGCTCGGGGAGCCCACAGGGCTGTGCCAGCCTGGCACTGCTGGGCACGGGGCAGGCACTCGGTGGCACGGCACGCAAGGGACAGCGGGAAGGGAGTGCTGGCCACAGCCCGTCTCAGAGTTACAGGGATCAATTATTTAGGGCCTGCGATCGTTGCGATAACAGAGCAGAGTATTTATTGCTCTTCCTTTTTTAAATATTCAACAGGGGTTTTTTTTATGGAGCACTTAATAAAACAGCTTCCTGTGGGGTCGGGAGGCAGAATGTGGGGATGTGGGATGCAGATTATGGGTCTGTGGGGTAAAAGATGTGGGATTCAGGATTTGGGTTGTACAGTTTGGGATGCACAATTCAGGATGAGAGACACGAGGATGCCAAGGCCTTTTGGGGCAGTGAGGGGACACCAGCACCCAGCAGCTGGGCACCATGGCGCAGGTTGGCCTTTCCCCGCCGGCTCCACGGCCGGTGCTGTGTAAGCAGCTTACTTTAAAATACGACTAAATTGCAGTGTCCAAAAACAGCCGGAGGAAGGAGCTTAGCCTAAGCAGGCTGATTAACTTAGTGACCTCCCGCTGCAGCTGCAGCCACCGCAGCAGCACGGGGACCCATGGGAAGCCATGGGGTGGACAGCTCCCAGCCCTGGCACTGCTCTGCCTGCCCACAGCTGTCTCCCCTGCACCTGCCCATGTTCCTTGTGTCCCACAAGCCCCCATGTCCCTGCATCCTGCCCACCCCCTGTCCCAGCCCTGGCAGCAGCAGCGGCCACAGGTGACGGGCGCTGTGCCCCACTTGCAGCACGCTGAGTGCCCAGACCAAGACGGGGGCCACCCCGCTGTACCTCGCCTGCCAGGAAGGCCACCTGGAGATCATCCAGTACCTGGTGCAGGACTGTGGGGCTGACCCCCACGCTCGGGCTTACGACGGCATGACCCCCCTGCACGCTG